TCTGTCTGTCTGTCTGTCTATCTCTTCTTTCTTCTCTCTTTCCTCTCCCTTCCACCCCCATCCCCCACCCCCAGTTTTCAAGACAATGTTTCTCTGTGTAACCTTGTCTGTCACTGTCCTGGAACAACCTCTGTAGACCAGGCTGGCCTTGAATGCACAGAGATCCACCTGCCTCTGCCTCCAGAGTTCTGGGATTAAAGGTATGCACCCCCACACCTGGCTGAACCCAATCTCTTAACTAGGAGCCTTTATAGAAGGAAATGTTTAAAAATTTACATCCTTCCAAGATAACAATGTTACAATATAGTATTGTTACAATGGCTCTATCCTCATTCCAAAATGGAGGGATGGGGGCATAGCAAGGAAAGATTGGACCAAAACAAGACCAAAATCCCATAGAGAAAACATCGAGCCCTATAGTGCCATGTCTGGCATCTCTGGGCTCCAAAGGGATTGGTACCTGCCCCCTTCCAGCTTTATTTCTTGCAACACACATTAGCCTCCTCTTGGCGTGAACTGCACTTCGTACCTGGATTTATCTTGGCAGAAGTCAAACAGTTTTTATCTCCAACATCCTGTGGCATCCATCAAACCCCAGGCTTTACCTTTACAGTTTCATGCAATGGCCTTGTGGGACCTCCTTGCAGAGACTGCAGCCCGGCCACACATTGCCTGGTTGCGGAAGACTTTGGGAATCTCGACCCAGCTACCATAACTCCCTCATTCTTGTAATTTTCATGCCTGCAAAACCAGTACTACTAGGCAATACTGCCTAGTTCTACTACCAGCTCAAGGTGTAGACTGGTCCTTTAGGAATGGAGTCTCAACTACCGTTACATGCCTAAAGAAACATTTCCTCAGGTGGTTCAGTTCAGTCTGTCTCATTTCAAATACATTTTCATTTTACAACCTGGGGACTTTGATAGGCAGAGTCTTACCTTTAGAACATCTTACTATTATCCTAGAACAGAATAATGGGTTTCTCTTTAATAATGCTAATAGCATTATTAGAGTTGTTTTCATACTAACCCCGTCTCTATTTTTAAACTCAGTCTCCTTTCTGCACAAAACTACACACTTTTCTTATTTTTCTGCTGTTTTGTTCTTTCTGTCTGGGGACCTGAGAACAATGAGCAGCAATTGTGACCCAGCCCTAATGCTGCCCTGCCCTGATACTTCTTCCATCTCATGGATTAGACCATTGTTTCTAAACTTGGCCTCACTCAAGCTGTGAAGACACAGGCAGGATGCAGCCGGATTCTTCACCTGACCGCAACCCAAAAACCCACCAGTCCTGTTCTTGACAGAATCCATGTCTCAGTCTGAAGTAGCATACCAGGCTTCTACTGTCTGTCTCTCTTAGCGTGCTGGTCTTCCAGTCCCCAGCAGAATGTCCAAGTGCTGCTCATTGCATGCTAGCACTCTCCAAACGCTCACAGATTCCGACGGCAAATCGTTCTAAAGGCCTCTGAGCTACAGAGCTGGGTTTATCTCAGCAACTGTTCTACACCTGGTACTGGCCTTCTGGATTAGTTTCTTTTCTCATTAGAGAGACTAAATGCCTCATGAGGCAAATTAAGGAAGAGAGTCTTTTGCCTTGTGGTTTAAGAAGATATAGTCCATCATGGCAGGGATGTCAGTGCAGTAGGATCATGGGGCAGTTGGTTATAAGCATAGTAAAAATATGAAAAAGCTAAATTAATATAAAATGCCATCAATGGGGATTCATTAGAAGAAGGGGGATGGGAAAAGACAAACGCCTACATAGCAGTTTCCCCACAAGGTTTAATATCATATTCCTGTTGCAGTCAGCATGTCAGTCTTTGCCAGTGACGTTCACACGAGCCAACCAGCGCCTCCATCATCCTTCTCCTCACACCTGAACCAATCCTGCACAGCCTTTCAATCATAGGACGCCATTGGTGGCACTGCTTCTGCAGCTTTTGTCTTTTACTTTTCCCAGTGTTTATGTCAAACTATGCTGGAATCAAACCAGACACATACTCACCAAAAACCGAGACAGACATGTTTTTTTTCTCATCAAAAACTACACATTAGTTACCCAGCAGAGAAGGAACTGTAGCCATCCAGAGAAACTGCTCTCAACAAGGATTGTCCACACCACAGACTAACATAGGAGGGTGGCTTTAAGAGTTTTTTTTTTTATTTTCTGTTGTTGTGATTGTTAGTTTTGGTAGTAATGATGTTACTGGTGGTGGCAGTGTATATGTGTATGTGTGTGTACAAATAAACAATGAAAACTTCATGTGACGATATGATGTCTATCTCATTGGAGTATTTACCAATGTACGTGCTAATAATATTCTAGTCTTATTAGTGAGATTATAATCTCCCTTCTCTTGGGGTAAGATTAGGTTGCTTTTTGGTGGGTGAAAGTCACATTTTTCACTAGGATGTACACTTTGGGGTACCACAAAAAGCATTTGCCAAATGAAAGTGTAGGTGTGGTTACTACAGTTAAGATAGAGACATGTTGTCAAATGCTGTGTTTGTGTCTCCAGAAAATGGTTAAAGCCCTATTGAACTCTATTCCCTGGTCATCTTCTTTTCTATGACTATTTAAGGATTGGCATGTGTATCCATTATAATGTGATGTAACAATGCCTCCTCATATTTCTCTGATCCTACAATAGGGGTGATTTGTATCTTCCGAAGAAGACATTAAGGCTATATATAATCAGTGATCTCTTAGTCAACCACAGACTGTTCATTTCTAAAACTGTAATTTCATATATTTTTATGATAATTATACATAAAAAATATATTTCAGGTTGTAGGGGTTGATTTAGAAAAACTGTAGCTGTACCTGAAAGCCTACAGAACATCCATCACACTTTATCACAGCAAAAATGATTATAAAAGCTATAAAAATATGAAAAGCAAAAAAGAAACCACTGAAGTTCTTTAAAAATGGGTAAATAGCAATATAAACAACATTCCTTAGTATGATGGCTACTCTCGGTTGTCTTCTGGGGCGTTTCTGGAATGCCAGAAATGGAGGGCACACCTGTGATCCAGGTGTTGAGGCAGGAAGACACACCTTTAATCTGGGCCACACTTTCAACTGGAAGTCTACGTAAGGACAATGGAAGAAAGGTTTCCTTCTTTGGCTGTTTGCCCTCAAATTGGAGCCTACTTCTTTGAGATTTCAGCATATATAGAAGAGCGGCTGAAACATTCAGCCTCATGGCACTGAGAAACTACTCGATTTTTGGACCTTTCGTTAACAGCTAGCCATTGCTGGACTGCAGCCTGTAAGTCATTCCAATAGATTCCCTTTCTATATAGAGTGAGACATAGAGAGATTAATTCCTTAAGTTCTGTGGCTCTAGAGAACCCTGCCTAGACCACTTAGTAATGTCTAGCCACAGGATAAAGCTAGTATTCATACATATGTGTGTATAAAGTTTATATGACTATAAATACATATATTCAGTCTTATGACTTGTCACAGAAGGAATAGTAGAATCATGCCACTTTTGTATGGAGGTATCATTATAGTATCTTAGAATCCTGCAAAATATCCAACTGATCATAAAAGTCTTTCTAAACAAAAATCTACAGCTTGTCGACTCATTCACATAGAAACTGCATCATATAGAGAGTAAGAAATCAAACGTTTTATCAATATACTCACACAGTATTCTGATCTTCTAAAGAATTTCATGAACTGGGGGAAGAAGAGTTGGGTCATGTTTTCCTCAGCTGGGAGCAGAACCAATGGACCAGTGGACAATATTTACAACTTCTATGTTTCTTCCCCTTGGCCTGCTCTGACCTTCAGAGTCCAGTATGCCCAAGTGTCTTAGCATTTCTGCTTCCCAAGGACTCTGCCATGGAGGTCCTGACAGTTTAGACATGTTTAGACATGTCAGTGCACCACACGGACCTCTGGAGAATCCTTCTTTCTCCTCCTACTCAGAGATCACCAGCAGCATGGTTTCTACCTTACAGAATTTCATTAGGAGCTTTTGGGGAATATTCTTTTATTTATTTATTTATTTATTAAGTATACAGTGTTCTGTCTGCATATGTGCCTGCAGGCCAGAAGAGGGCACCAGATCTCATTACAGATGGTTGTGAGCCACCATGTGGATGCTGGGTATTGAACTCAGGACCTCTGGAAGAGCAGTCAGTGCTCTTAACCTCTGAGCCATCTCTCCAGCCCCCTTGGGGAATATTCTTGAAACCCTTCTTTTCAAGGTGTAATCCTTGATGGGAAGCATCTGGCCACTGCTTAGAGATGCGGTGTATCAGGCTCCACCAATCACAGTTCGGTGGTTGAACCTAAGACCCAGGTGATTCCTATGTAAACTATGGTTTGAGAGGCACTATCTTAAACCATCTCTCTCTTTCTAAATGGAGGCCAAGAACAGTGTTGCATCAGGAAACAAGAGAGACAAGTGAAGTGACATTTTTATAGTCTTCCTTAAGGTGACTTTGTGTGTGAAACTCTGCCCAACTTTGAAAGCTTAGCTCCTTCACTGACTCGTCCTCCCTCACGAAAGTGCTCACCCCGCATCACCTCACAGAAAGACTTTTGGACACATGCAGACATAATTTAGGTCCAAGTAGAGATCCACCAGACATATGGAACATTTGGCCTTTTACATATATGGAAAATATACTGTAATTACTCAGTGCTGGTTCAACACACTACCTAAAAGTACCTCATTATGGATCATAGGAATGGTGAAGAAAGTACAACAGTCCCCTGCCTCAGAAGGAAATAGATAATGAAGAAGTCGGCATCAGGCCAGGTAGGAACTTCAGAGAGATGGAGTAAGAAGGAATTCAACAGAGAAATTGGGAAACTACTGCCTCATCCGGAGACTGCAGCTGTTCTCCGGAAGATCGCCTCGTGTCTGATTCCACTTCTCTGCCTTCCCTCGCAAGACAGATTTAGAATGCATATTTTTTTCAGAGGCTCTGCCCTACTCTTCCTAGCTGACATGATTTTGCCTTTTCAGAATGCTGCCGTATCCCACACTAAGCTCAGCCGTGTGAAGCTTGCTGAGGTCTTATGCACAAAGTTTGAGGTCATAGGGTAGGCTCTCTGTGGAGCCAGCATGCTGAGCCAGCATAGTTCTTAGGGGAGAGGGATGGGCAAAGGCAATGAATCCCCTTTGACAATACACACTCTCCCAGGATATATCAGCCTTCTCTAATCATATTTAGAAAGATTAGCAAGAACACTGAACGCGGAGATAATTAGAGTAACTCCTCCCTCCACAGGCCTTCTTTGAACAGAGTAGTTCTTCCATTTAGAAACACTGCGGTTGTTGGTGGGCCAGTTACTATTAGTTACAGCTGGAAGAAAATTCACCTTGTCATTAGAAGTGGGCTGACCTATCAGATTTAAGAAGCACTCCACAGCAGTGGGAAGCTCATTGTTTGGTTGAATTTCCCTAGTGCTGAGATGTATTTCTGCAACCCTTTTTCTAAGGAATGTGAAGATGCTTTGAACCAAGCTGTGGCTTACCACCTGCATATCTCCTGTGTGTATTTAGGAATGGTTAGTATGGACTGCTGAACGCCTATGTGGGAGGATTCTGCTCTGTTATGCTTTGTTATGTGTGACAATGGGTTTGTTATCATTTAGAAATATTCGTAGGTATATTTGCAATCTGATACTAGGTAAAATGGCAACTCAGTTGGTTATGGTATTGATGTCCTGCAGTCTGTTGATTTAGAACTGTAATTGGAAATCATGGGTTAGGGTGAGGAGAAATACAACCTTTGTAGTAGGTCCCCAGAATTAAATGGACATCAAACAGTTGTGGGAGGCAGAATTAATATATTTATACCACTATGTGATTATTGGCATATTTTTTAATGTAGATATGTTGGGATTAATGAAACTTCCACTGCATTCTGTCATGAATCTAATGATTAATGAACGAGAGTGCTAGAAACAAGACTAAGCCTCTCCCATCCCCAGTAGTCTCATAGTCTTATCTCTGTCCTAGGCCTACAGTTTTGTGGTTGATAAGAAAATGCCCCCTTTTGCCCGGTTCTTTGAAACTCAGGCTGAAGAAAGGAGGGAAGTTGCAGATCAATTCCTAAAATGTCTATGGAAACGTAAGGGTAAAATCTGTCCTCCAATTTATAAGGTAACTATAATTTTACTGTGATCATCTCCCCAAGGCCTTGTCTAGGCCTAGGAAATAATTGATTGCTATCTCATTTATTAGTTTATTCATGTTCTTAGATGGCCTTCTTTGTGACAGAACTCTAGGGTAAGCATGTGTCAGTACCTTTGGGGGTAAAACTTAGTCACTGAATGCTTGTTTAGTTTTTCTCAATGAAGTACACGAAGAATTGTCTCTGCACCAGCAAACACCACCTGAGGATCCTGAGAAATGCAAATTCAAGGACCTCAGCCCAGGCCCAAGTTAGTTGTATCTTAATAAGTTCCTCATTCTGTCCTAACTTGATCCAAATGTTCCATAGACTGAGAAGCAGTACCCTCACAATTTCTTCATAGGCTCATTAATATCCTCTTTCCTATCACTAGTTCACCCACAGGTTCAGGTATTTTCTCTTTTCAGTGCGGTACTCCATCTCATTGCTCAGGGAAGACACTCAAAAGAAATGGTCTGAAACTCAGGGACATTACATCCCTGATTACCTAAAATGTTGCTGTTGGTTTTTTTTTTAACTGAACCTTTATAAAGAGAAATATCTACTAATAAGAAAACAGAACTGTCATCACTATACAACTTCAAACCTAGGAATAATTGAATACATACTTGGGCCATTTACCCTCAATGTCCTTGATTTGTAGCACATTAAACATATCTCTGCAGATAATCCTTGATCCCAAAGACCACTTTACATATCCCATCATTTAAATCAGTGTTTGCAAGTGAGCCATCCAGTCTCTGCCAATTCCAAGGCACTCAAGATTGTGGAAACTATTGGATTGTGCACGTCTTATTATATGCAAAGTAGAATATAACCTGGCCTAAGGAAGGAAATTAACAACTCTGTTCCTCTCCAACAGAAGCCTAATATGAATGAAATAACCACTCCTACAGAAGCCCTAAAATTAGCTCAGGAGCTGGAAAGAACATTAACACAGATTCTGTTAAATCTAAACACTAGAGCTTGTCTGGATCGTGAAGCTGATGTAAGTAGTTAACTGATTCTCACAAGGTCATTTCCCACTTTTGACTAGCAATTTGCCTATGAAGTGAGCAGACAGAAGTACATTCCACATTACGTATGTGTGTTTCTATCCTCAAGGAAGGACATAAACTCATTGCTAAGCGTAACTAGGACCTGAGCGGTTAGAGATCTAAGTAAGGAAGGGTGCAATGCATTACAGCATAGCTTTCTCAGAAGCAATGTGTTCTGGACAATTATACAAAATTATGGTATGATGCCAGCTTGAAACTTCATTCAGAAATGCCTAAGCTCATTGATCTGAAACCCTTGGAGAACTCACTACCCCAAACTCCTGGCATCCACCCAGTTTATTTTGTTTAATATGCTTTGCGTGGGGTCTCCACTTTGCTTTTAAAGCAAGTTGCAGGCCATGCTGCTGCCAGCTGGGAGGCACCATTTGCCATGTGATCGTTCTGTAGTCTTGATGAAATCTTCCTGGCTGGTAATGAAAAGTCCTTCTCAAAGTAGAGTTCAGCTCACCAAGCCCTTGGTGTCTCAGGAAGTCAAAAAAAAAAATACCATAGCACAAAAGTTCTCCACCCTAGTTAGACAATGTGCTCACCAAGGGGCTCTAAGGAGTTGTAGTAGTTGGACTTTAGGCCTGAATATTTAGCTAAGTCTTCAAAAAGGGGCTCTGGGTATCTATCTAGTCAAAGTCTCCATGTGATTCAAGGAAAGGGGATTGAAAAGTATGCAGTAGAAGCTTGTTCCTTAAAGTCATATGCACTCTTGAGGAAACATCCTGGCACTCTGGCAAGCAGGTGCCTGTGTTTACATAGAGGTTTTGAACATCTTTGCTCAGTTCTTTTGGCCCTTCAATTTGCATATGAATCACCTGCTCCTGCTCAGTACTCTGTGTAGTGATTTAGTAGATTTGTGGCAGAACTTGAGATTCTGTGTATCTGCTGGGCTCTGGACTGTGCTTCACAGGTTACAATTTAGATAAATTGCCTCCCATTGAAGGCATGGTCCTTAATGAATGTTCTTCCCTGTTTATGTCTGTAGCTCTTAAGCTTTTTGACATCGTTGATCCAGAAACAGAAACGGAATGAAGGTTATCTAAGTTGTCAACTGACTTACCAGGAAAGAGTAGAAAGACAGAAACAAAAAGACATCCAGACTGAAACACCTTCTACTTCATCAGGTGAAGGGATTTAACTTTGAAAGGCAAAGAAGCAAACTGGAAATCGTAAAGTCAGTGATTTAAGAGTCTTCATCACCCAATTGCTGAAGACTGCTTTCTTTTCTATTTTTCTAATGCTCATTCTTAAATAAAATTAAACCTGTTTTGCATTATAAATGTGACTTAAGAGTTTAATGCTTGAGAAAGTTTAGTTTTGCGAATATAGAACTTGGTACAAACATCATGAGGGCCCCCAAGGTACATTAAATTTGTTTTTCCTACCTTCACTTATGGCTCTCAAACATTCAGTGACAAACAAGATTAGGGGAACTCAAATACAAGTGAATGTCTAAAAATTAAGTGGTAAACTTTAGTTTATGTGTATGGGTGTTTTGCCTGCATGTGTATCTGTGGACCAAGTGCATGCAGTGCCTATGGGGTCCAGAAGAGGGCATCAGATCCCCTGGAACTGAAGTGAAAGAGCACTGTTAGCTCCCATCAGCGAGCTGAGAATCCAGCCCAGGTCTTTGAGAAGAGCAGACGGTACTCTCAACATCTAAGCCATCTCTCCAGGCAGTAACGATTAAAATCTCCATATTCTGCCCTCATGTGTGTATGTATTTTAAACTTGAAAAAAGAAAAGATTGGAGGGTTTTCTTGTTTCGTTTTTTCAAAGTAAACGCAGCTTGAAAACAAGAGGTGCTCGGGTAGAAAGGATGACCCTCACCTGAGGGATGCACAGCAGATGGCTAATGTCACCTGGTCCCTTTTTATAAGCAGAGATAGACACGGGTGGAGCGGTTCTGTTGAACTTGTCCATATTGGGTTTCATGGTCTAAACTGATGAAGATGACTGACCAGGTCTCTTTCTCAAGAGGGCACCAGACCTCATTACAGATGGTTGTGAGCCACCATGTGGTTGGCTGGGAATTGAACTCAGGACCTTTGGAAGAGCAGGCAATGCCCTTAACTGCTCCACCCATGTCTACCTCTGCTCCTGAACCTTGCAGTGTGTGTGTGTGTGTGTGTGTGTGTGTGTGTGTGTGTGTGTGTGTGTTATTCACATGCCCTATGTCCTATTTAGAACGAAGCACTCCATTACCACCTCTCAGTACACTGGCCATATATGTGGTGCGGGAGAATTGTCTGTATTCTGTCAACCATGTTTTAAATAAACGCTGATTGGCCAGGCAGGAGGTGTAGGCGGGAAAACCAGACAGGAAGTGGAAATGATGTAAGAAGAGCAGGAGAATTCTGGGGAGGAGGAAGTTGATTCCTCCCACTCCTGCCCAGATCACTGAAACAGCAGGATGTAAACTGCCCCACTGAAAAAGGTACTGAGCCACATGGCTAAAATAGATCAGAATAATGGGTTAATCAAGATGTGAGAGTTAGCTAATAAGTAGCCTGACCTAATGGGCCAATCAGCATTATAACTTACAGAGTTCTCTGTGGTTGATTTTCTCTGGGACTAAACAGCTGTGGGGTACTGGGAGGCACAGAAAACACAAACAAGTAGGCCCCCTCATGTTACATATATGGATGGCTTTATTAACTGCTGCCTTGCTACAAAACAAACAGAAGTCTGTAGCAGACAACAGAGGCAGAGAGCACTAATCTATGGATATAAATGAAAATATTATAAATATATAGCAGGCAGTTTGTCCTTTAGCAAGCCAGTAGTAGTGATTTGTGGCCCCTCACCTAGTGCCTACAACCACCTCAGCTCCAGTTCTTTGTCCAGATTTACAGTACTAGGCATGGATTCCATCCTGCAGAGTGAGCCTCAAATCCCTTCAGAAAGTTGCTACTCCATAGCAGTCATGTATTGTAGTGGGCATTGCTAGAAAGGTAGTTTTCCAGCTCACAATTATTAGGCCTTTGCTATTGATAGCTTTTCTTCCTTAGCAGTCTGTAGAGCACCTTCTGGCCCTATGGAAACTGTCCAGCAGAGAGAAGCCTTCCAGCTCAGTTTCCACTTGATTTCTCTCTGTTTTGCGGTTGAAGTTTGTGGTTTCTTCAACAAGGTAGTATCACCTAGTTTATGGTGGGCAGGCAAGAGCAGTGACAGTCTCCTGCCTTGTGTTGGAGTCTCCCTGACCCATAACTTATAAGGTAGTGTCCTACACCTAGTGCTGGGATTTTCATTTAACAACCTATAGCTTCTGGGAGCAGTGATATCCACCCTGGCAGGGTACCACTCTTCAAACTTTTTATATTTTTTGATTATCTTATCAAGTGGGTCTATTAGGGTTTAATGTGCGGAAGGGTACTTTGGTGGATTGGGCTCAAAGAATGACACAAAGTCTCATGCCATGCAACAGACCTCACACAAGAGACTTATTGAGATGGAGGTAAACAAAGACAACCTCTGATCAAGAGTGGAGGAAGGAAGGAACAGACTGTGAAGCCACTGGCTTTGTAAAGGGAATAGTGCAGATAATAGGGGAATATGTGACTCGTAGCTACGGTGGAGATGGTGATAATGGTGGGTGGTGATGATGCGGCTGCTGGTGCTGAGTTACTGAAGGAGAGGTGGGGATGCTTCCGACATTCTTCCCTCTTGTTTACTATAAAAGGAGAGGAGATAGAAAGGGGTGACTGGTGAAGCAGGAATGAGGGTGCTGTGCTCTTCCTGTTGACTAGGTCAACATCTTCAGGGTTCTGTTGATCCTCACCATCAGGATACATTATGTACTCATGAGTCCCCAGCTCTGTGACTTCAGGTTGCTAATCTTGTAACAATAACTGATTGTTTGATTAGACATTTTTTTAATTCATTGTTGAAGAAATTGATAAAGCAGGGTACAATTGGTAAAAGCAGGAAAATGAGAAGCGGGGATCAGGAAGGGAAGTGTCTAATTCCATCTGAGGTTCACAAAGGGCCCAGGGATGGAGGCATCACTTTGTCTTCTTACATTTTTGGAAGTCTGAAGTTGTTGGATCAAACTCCTCTCACCAAGATCCACGTGACGCTGACTCTCATAAATTCTCCTCCAACGGCCACATATACACTATGGTACATAGGTGCACACACACAAGAACTCACATACACATGGGTGCATAGATAACTGTTTCAAAATGTAAAGTAAACGAAGGCATCCACTCACCTAGAAGAGTTACTGCTAGTGTAGGGTCAGAGGAGGCCAAGGAAAGCTGGTGGCTATAATCCAGCTCATAGCTCCACGTGCACCTGGCCGAAACTGAAATAACCAGGGAATGGAGACGCACCATGTCTGCGGAGATTGGTTGACAAGAAGAAAGCTGAGAAGTAGAATTGAAAGTAGGCTGTGGAACACAACAGAATTAAGAAAGCCTGCCTTTTCACATACAACCAGAGGTCCTGAGTTCAACTCTCAGCAACCACATGGTGGCTCACAGTCATTTATAATGAGATTTGATGCCCTCTTCTGGCATGCAGGCATATAGGCAGATAGAGCATTCACACATTAAAGTAAAAAAATAAAAAATATGACAGAAAGACACATCTGCCATCAAGTCGTATATCTTCACTCAAGGCTTGCCGACTGCAGGTGCTGTGTGGGCCTGGGGATGCCCCTTCACCCCTAGTACTAGTCCGTTAGAGCCTTGAGAGCCGCTGGAGATGAAACAGGGCCTAGGCACTGCTTGCCCAAGGAGTTCTACAGGGAATCAGAGGGGCACTAACTGGTGAGTTCCTGGAAAAAAAATCCTAGGGAAGGAACTGTCTGGGACCAAGTTCACCCCAGTTCTGTGCCTAACACTGCTCACTTGATGACTTTAAAAACATAAAAACAGGAAAAGTAAAACGATTGTGTCATTACGCCAGCAACAAAGTCCTGGCCTGGTAATTGAGACAGGTGGAATTTAAAATTGCTTATTCTACTGCAAGATTCCATCAAATGTGTCTTACATTTATTACCGATAACCAGGGAAAACAAACACCTACACTGCGGGCCACTCATCCTGTCTTCTTTTCTCCTCAGGTCTGCACAGGAAACATGAGGGCAGAAGCTAGTGCTCTTGACAGGCAGCATTCTGTTCCTATAGAATACCAAGCCCTAGGAGGAAAGGCAAGTTGAGAATTATCATTCCTGGTAGGGTCCAGTCATTCGCCTGTTAGAAATGTCTGGCACTTTCTGCTTAAGAGAAGTCACATGAAATAAAATAAATCTCTCCGGTCTATTTTTCTGGAACAAACAAACAAGCAATCCTTTGCTTCTGATAATATAAAACTAGTAAAAATATAACTTTATAACATTAGACAAGTCACAAAAGTTGGTCCTAAGCAAATAGTGTACTAGCTTCCAGTCTTCCCCATCCTAGTTCTGCTGTGCAAAATCACTATGCAATGCTCAGGTGAGTCCTGAAAATATCTGACTGGTATGAGTCGAATCATCTTCCTGGGGCTTCAGACCACCCCTTGTATTAGTTGCTTTTCTTGTCACTGTGACAAATGCCTGTCAGAAGTCACTTGGAGAAGGAAGAATTCAAGTCGAATCACAGATTCAGGGTGGGAAGGCAACGGCAGTGTTCACTGCAGTGGTTTCTGTCCATGGTAGCAGGGACACAAGGCATCTGACTCAACACATCTATTAGGAAGTAGAGAACTTGAGCCAGAACGAGGACCAGCTATAATCGTGCATCCCCACCGACGTGGCCTGTTCAGCTAACTACATCACATATCGGAAAAGTTCTAAGACCTCCCCAACGGTACAATCAGCTGGGCACCAACTCTTCAAACATATGAACCTGTGGGGGGCAGCTCACAGACAACCATAAGACTTCTTAGAACAAACAGACAAAGAGCCTGAAATCAAAACATAGGACAACAGGTAATCGTAAAGAAAACAAAAAGCCTTGAGTTTTTCGTGACAGTACCATGGAAGGTACCAGGACAGAAGATGGCACAGAAAAGCAAGTGGCTCAGTGGGAAAATATCCCCTGTCCAACCAACAGAGAACATAAGTACAAGGGGAGGTTAGGGCTAAAGGCTCTGTAGTGACTGGAGCTTCAGGAAATCTGGTCGAACAGCAGCTAACCTGGCACAAACACAGACCCTGTGGTAGTAAGGGTGTGAAGTTATGCTACAGTCATTTATTTGAGGTTGATGATTGGTACCCTGTTTTGCTGACAATGAGACAGTATAGAAAAACTAAAAGAATAAGAGTATGAACTCCAGCGACCTCACGGGTGGCCAAAGATTTGTTTTCTTCTCTTTTTAAATTATACCAGGGAGACTACAATCAGTGAGCATAGAAGTCAAGATGAATGGGAAAAAGTTGGAAGTGGTGAAATAGCTTTCATTGGTCCGTTCCTTCTTCCCTCTTTCTCCTTCTGATTTCTGGCCCCCGTGATAGGGCAGCTTCAGTGTAACTCCTGCTGACAAGATACTCTGCCTCATCTCACAACAATGGGGCCAGACAACCTTGGTCTGGAACTTTTGAAACCCAGAGTCAGAATAAACTTTTCCTTCCCTTCAGTTATTTTCTCAGGCATCTCACCAAGCAGTGAATGTTCTTAATAGCGCAATACCTAACCTCAGCTGCAATGGACAATTGCGAGAATGCCGTAAGGTAACTATCGCTAATCAACCGGAGCCCAGAACCAGTCATTTTTTTTATCAGCACTGTCTATGTGTTAGTTCATATCAGTCTTGTGTGTGCAGAGGGCCATTGCAGCCACGCTCACATGACACATAAGGAAACTGAAGCTTGGGGAGGATTAGAGGACAGACACAAAGTCTAGATCTCGTCTGTAATTCTCCCTTAACGTTCTTGTACTTATTGCTCTGCCTTTCATAAGACGTAAAGTTGCCACTAATGCAATGTCAGTAAAATTTACTAAGTACATGCAGATTACTGGGAACTTCAGGGTTGCAGAGAAGCTATCAACACCACCCTCTTCCAGCCCCCAGAAGTAGCAATCCATTTGAGTCATGAGATTGTGTTTTCAAGAGCATTATCTCATTTTGCATGACGCTGAAGGACCATGAAAATGACCCACAAGCAGAAACCAGATCATTCTTAATATTCAGTGGGAAATACTGCATCTTTCTGGAGGCTTTAATAGCTTTGCCAATATGAAAGAACTAAGTTTTAGGAAATTAGGAGTGAGAATAAATAAAAAAATGTTAGCTAGAATGTTTTCTTTGTACTTTTGAGAACGACTTGAGCCATGTTTGCCTTCTTGTCCTTATTGTGTCCGATGTCTGGAGGAAGAGTCTTCCAGAGCTTTGCTGAGTTGTCACGTTCATTTCTACAAGTGGATCAATTTGTAAGGTTAGAGTGTGTTGGCTTTGATTCTCTGAAATACTCTAACAAGTCCTTTGATGTCACCTTCTCTATGGTCTTCATCTAACATAAACTGGTTCTTCATGCATGTCCAAGAGTCTGCCTTTGGGAAGAGCTCATGGTGGTTAATTTTGTGTATCCATGTTGGGTCACATTTCCTAGATATTTAGCCAAACATTACCATGTATGCTCCTGTTGAATTGGATTTTAGATGAGATAAAAGTTTATAATGTGGATGGTGAACCTCCATTCTTCACCTGAAGATTTTCCTGAACAAGAAGGGTTACTTCAAATTTCTGCTGTAGAAACAGTCATACTTGAACTTCAGTGTGTTCTTCTTAGCTCTCCAGTCTGCTGCTGTTCCTTTCTCCAGCATTACAGATTGTGGACTTGGCAGACTCCAAAGTCCTTAAGACAAAGATCCCTTCTCTGCCTTCTCTTTGTCTCCTTCTCTGTGCCTCAATTTGTCTCTGTGTCTGTGCCTCAGTTTGACTCTGTCTCTACATACAAATAATATATGTGTATTTGTTTGTTATATGTGATTTTTAAAGATATGAATGTTAAAGACATATGCATGCCCATGCTTACTCCGTGTTATTATTTTGCTGACCTTCCCTGTCACCTGGGTACCCTCTCAAAAGCTCCACCCACCCTCAACCTCCCCGCCTTTCACTGAGGCAAGCAGATCCCTGCCTCCTCTCCTGCATTCTCTCTTTCTTACCTCCTCTGAAGAGGTAACTTCTTCCCCCTTTTCCCCTTTACTCTCTTCTTCTCTTTCCCCTTCTCTCCTTTCCCCCTCCTCCCCTTTCCCCTTCCCTTTCCTCTCCATAACCCACTAAATAAATTCTATACCCACACACTCTCTCTGCATTATGTACCTGTCTGTCTCTCACCTGACAAGGGGACCCACCTAGGCTTCTGGGGACCCGCCAAGGCCTCGGGTGACCCACTGCTGCCTCTCGTGGGACCGGTCCCCCACTACCATATCTTTAAAAAAAGAATAACACTCCTGGTTCTGCTTCATTGACTAGGTTGTTAGAGATGTATAAAGATGTATAGATAAGTAGATGTAATTCCTCTGTATCTTCTGTAAGTTCATTTAAGTCTGACAAGAATTGTACCTTGTACTGTTATCACTTTCCATTTCCTTCACACCCATCCTCATCCTCTCTTACTTTTGTTCATTTTATAATGTGGCACATTAATCTACCACTGGCAGACAAAGAAATAACATGGCTACCTTTCTGTAGTACCCACCTAGCGTGAACTGAGCGGCAGACCAGAGAACCCAAACACCAAATGCTTGAAGTTTACTTAAAAAGTAACATGATTGACCAGTGAGCATTGTGAATACTGCTATTCACATAGAGGTCTGTAGACTGACGAGCTAAAGTTTGTCTCTTTCACAATACACGCATTGTACTGTGTACAGTAAGTATAATTGAGGTAGCTGACATTTGAGCAGTGTGCTTGAGCAACTTTGACATTTAACGAAAAGCAGGGCAACAAATTGTAATTTGTGCCCAAGGAAATACAGTGACAACTGGCACTTACTTCTCAGTTATCTAGATTCACAATTACGAAGGCCTCTCAAACAAGGGAAAGGGGTTCCCACAAAATTGGTAGCCCTTCTATAAGAACCCTATCACTTCACCAACTAGAACTGTAGAGATAGCTGACACTTGCAGCTTAATAGTTATGAACAATTGGCACACAGGAAATTCACACTAAAACATGCGCACACACAGTGTGAGTTGTGATGGAGACAGTTTTCTCCCTACAATCCATTACCTCCACCCCCTTTAACAACGCTGCTCTAGGTTTCAGTGGGGCAAATGGTCCCCTCTCTGAAATCGTTAATTGCACCCTCTTTTGAAGCTTCTGACCAAATATTGGTTAGTGAAATGTGGAGGAATCTCTTAGATATGGCTATGCTTTACTCTGGCCTTTGCTAGTCTGTCTTGGATATAGTCAGATTGAAGGGAATTAAATCAACCGCTGTGAACCACAAAATGGAATCTGTGTGTGGAGTAAGAGTACTATGCTCCCTAGACTGCTGTCTCTGTACAGCTATATAAAAAAGAAATACAATCCAATTTTGTTCTAGTCGCTGTATGTGTGTGTGTCGGGGAGGGGGGGGCTGTTTGGTTACAGACACGACCTGGGCCTAGCAAGTGCAATGCACTGCTTTCTGTTTGGGAATAGACAGCTGCTTACATATACAACAATAAGTAGTGGCCTTTCTCCCTTCCAACCCTCAATGAAAGACAACAAAAGGGAACAGGATTAATAAATATTCTTTTTCTACAGAAGGAAACTGGACAGGTCCTGCTGAGGAGGATTAGGAGACCAGCAAAGCCGCTGTAGCTGTGTTGAATGAAGGAAGCCTGCCTCTCAGAGTGGCTGTGGTCCATCCCACTGGTCGTTTCTATACACAACGGCTACAGATTTCCATCCGGACCACCAGATACACTGGAGTAGAGACTCCCAATATAAAACTGAATTCTCAAGAACAGCTGAGGCCTGGGACAATCATCTGGCATTCACCTACACAGTAGCTCTCAATCTGGCTAGAGTCTTATGATCTCCTTCCTGACCTTTGCAGGCTAGGCACACACATGGTGCACATACATATATGCAAGCAAATACTCATACAATGAAACAAGAAGAAATGTCTTTAAAAATAATGGTGAATGATCTGCTCAGGTGCCATATTTTTGGCCTACTCTTGAACTCCAAAGCCCAGCTATTCCAAAATGCTCTAGCATGTCCACCTCTCCAGGATGCTGCCATGGAGGACCTACAACTTGTACCTGTCAAGCCAACACAGCTGTCTCTAGAGAATGCCTCCACTTTCATCTTATTCAAAGATTCCCACCTGTGTCATAGATGCCAGGCAGAACATTACTGAACACTTTTCGGAATGTTCTTTAACCCCTTCTCTTCAAGATATGGCCCTTCCTAGGCAGTACCTAGCAGTAGGCTAGGAATGCAACACCTCAGGCTCCACCAATCACAACTTTGCGTTTGAACAAAAGTCCCAAGTGATTCCATTCCTATGTGAACTGTGGTCTGAGAGACACTGTCTTAAACCACCTCTTCTTTTCTAGAAGTAATCTCAGACTCTATTGGAAACAAAGGCAGGGTTGGGTCAAGAAGCAAAAATGATAGGTAAAAGACACATTTGCAATCGCTCCTTCTTTAAGATCACCTTGTTTAACTCTGTACCAAGTTTGAACATTTGGCTCCTGGGCATGAGTTCTCCCTCAAGAGGCTTCTTCATCATTCACCACCTCACAGGGATGGACTTTGAAGCAACTGCTATTTCCTTAAAACCATCTCACACATCAAGATTCTTGCCGCTCACCCTCCTGAAGCTTGGATTAGTCTAGCACCTAGACAGCTGCCATTTCTATTCACTTCAAGCAAACAGGGGTTAGCTCAAAGTTAAGGTCTGCCAGATGAGGAAGTTTGAGCTTTCTTTGTAGGGCAAACCCATTTTCTTCAACAGTGACTCAGCACATCCCTTCAAGCACGCCGTTACCAGTCTTAAAATAGAGAAATAGATGGAGGCTGAGACACAGAGAGACCTTTGAAAAAAAGAATAAGAAAAGAGTCAAAAAGATACTAATTTGGAGATAGGTAAATTCCTGCCTCATCTCTTAGCTATAGCTGTGTGTGGCAAGCTGCAGGTGGAAGGCCTTTCTTCTATCTCCACTTCTACATCTTCCTTCGGCTTACAAGGCTAACTTAGAGTGCCAGATTATTAATGAAACCCTTACGACTCCTCCTCTAACTGAGAGGATTATGATATTTCAGAACTCTACCCTAGTCTACTGGAAGCTCACTTCTGTACGAGGAGGGAAGGGGTTGTAGTGTTTCCTATAAACAAATGTGTTCTCAACATGCTTCTTAGATCTGATGTACATCAAACATTACTCTTCAGGAAGTATACTTGCATTCTCAAATAAAAAATGAAAGGGAGAAAAAAATGAAAGGGAGGAAAGTTTGTTCAAGGTGGGGGTGGGGAGGTCAAGGTCATCACAAGGGAACCCACAGCTGACCTGGGCTCATAGGAGCTTGCAAACTCTGGATCTACAGCTAGGGAGCCTGTATGGGACCTACCTAGTCCCTCGACATATGTGTGACAGTGTATATTTTGATCTACTTGTGGTGAGAACAGGGCCTGACCCTCCCTCATACTTTGGCTGGCTTCCAGGAACCTTTTCTTTATACTGGGTTGCCTTGCCCAGCCTTAATACAAGGGGAGGAGCTTAGTCCTACCTCAACTTGATATGTCAGAATTTGTTGACATCCATGAGAGGCCTGCCTCTTTCTGAACAGACACAGAGGAGGAGTGGATTGGGAGTGGAGGATGAGGGGAGAGAATTGGAGGAGAGGAGGGAGAGGAAACTCCAGCTGGCATGTAAAATAAATGAATAAATTTAATTAATAATGATAATTAAAAGAAGAAAACGAGAAGAAAGATTGGCCATTGAGGAAATCAGAAGACAAATCCTTACATCCCCTTCTAACCCATTTTTTTGCCATTTAACTTGATTTCCTTACCCAGGCACAATGCCTGTGCTGGTAGATTGGCAGTTGTGGTCTCAGGTGGTCATGGTTTCATCCATTGCGAGGAGTGGGCTGTGACCACTCTTAGTATTTAAGAGGCTCTCCAGTGAGTAGGCAGCACATCCTATGGCTGAAATTTCCTGTTGCTGAAATGGCACCTAAGAAGAAAGCAAAAGTGGATATCGTTCCCGACGAGCCTTTAACTGCTATACACCAAGTCGCCTGTATGCTGATGAACATCAGTGATGTTTATTACTTCTTGGTTAGTAGGGCTCTTGGGCAGCTATGGGGGGATGTTGCTCTGATCTGGGTGATGATACACTTGCTAACTTCTTACCTTGGAGTTTAACATTAGGTGAAACAGTGGTTCAATAGGGAGACTTTGCAAATTTATAAGTCTGATAGCAAAGTACGGCTATGAAAAGGAAAATCACAATTCTCCAGTTGAGTTCCCAAAGTTATTTGGGCAATAGCCAATGGTGGCAGAATAGTTTTTTTTATTTGTTTTTTGTTTTTCAAGACAGACTTTCTCTGTGTAGGTCTGGCTATCCTGGAACTTACTCTGTAGATCAGGCTGGCCTCTAACTCACAGAGATCCTCCTGCCTCTGCCTCCTGAGCACTGGGAAGCATGTTCCACTACTATCTGGATCAGAATAAACAGTTTAACACCTTAATGCGATTTCATACTCAATATTAGTATTCTAGGATTAGTACGATAAAACTACTCTTAGATTTTTAGTAAATCTGTGCTAGGCTTCTGTCATGGATCTATATGGTTACTGAATGAACCTGATAGTGTGTATGGTAACATATCTGACCCATAGACAAGCCATATTGTAGAAAGACTAGGGACTGGTCCAGGTGACTGCTCTTTGGTATAGCCTGAGTTCAGGGAAAGAGAAATTTCTAGAATTCAAAGAACAAACCAGCCACCCAGGAACAACCAAAGACCTTTTCTAGATGACCACTGAGACAACCAACTGTTTTCATAAGATTACTACCTAAAAATTTAACTTCTCCTATCTCCATCTCTTCCCCCAAATTCTTACCCCAATCCTAGAGTTACTATTACAACGATCAGGTGGCAGTGGCTGGTTTTGGAGCACATATTCAGGACCAGGCTGTGACAAGATGGCACGAAGCCAAAAAGTCTCTGAAATACATCACAGGAAGAGGTAATAAGGTCTGCCTTCCAGATATTCAGGTGACTGAAATTCTACTCTGATAATTTCTTTGGGAGCTTTTTACTAGATCTTAACTACAACTGCTTGCTACTTAAACTTACTAGTTAGTTCATTTACGTTCTTAGTAGCTGAACATGAGTTGTTTTCTTCAGGCCTAAAGCTTGGCCACAACAGACCTGTTTAGCTTTTCTCAGTGAGCCAGCCATGGAGATCTCTGGATCACAAACCCGAGTCCAACACAAGGACAGTGAGAAATGCAAATTCAGGACTTTCACCCTGACCCAAGGAACCTGATTGTGAATGGGGCCAAGAAGCTGTGTCTTAAACTCCTCAGATGATCCTAATACTCTGAAGAGCTTAGAGGCAGAGCTCTCAAGAGCTTTCCCTGGGGCTGCTACCAGCCTTTTCAGTTTACAGAAAACTCAGGTAGACCCTCAAGGATTTATTATCATTGTCTCATCAATGTCTCTTACTACATTGGTCTCACTGAATGCCAACACTCCAAAGAAACAGTCTGATCTTAAGACTGTTGTATCCTAGCTCAGGGGTGATTGGGGCAGCAACACACACCTTCAGTCCTAGCACTTGGAAGGCAGACGCAGGCAGATCTCTGAGTTTGAGGTCAGCCTGGTCTACAGAGTGAGTTTCAAGACAGCCAGGGCTACCCAAAGATTGTCACATCCATTCATCTGTAATGTCATTTTAGATGTATTTTAATAAAGGAAGTATATATCTTCTACACAACATAGTCGAACCATCATTGTAGAATTTCAAAGCCAATGGAACAATTATTAACTTGTTCAATTTGCCCTTAGTACCTTTGCTATGCAGCAACTGAATTTGTCAAGGATCTTTTTACTGTCCTGAGGTCCAAATCAATTAATCAAGATTACTGCAGGTGAGCCAGGTGCCAGTCGTTAAGACTTTGACTCCTGTGCTATATGAAGTGTGAAATCCTTCTCACTCGCAAACCTAGTCCTCATCTTAAATAGAAATTACCCGAGGTAGGAAATTGACTACCTGTTCATTTCCAACAGAGGCCTGAAATAAACAACTGGGAACATATTAACTGTCTGACAACTGCTCTAGATATGGAAAAAGAGTTAACCAAGGTCCTGCAAAATCTTCATGCCTCGGCCTTTAATATTGGAGATACCGATGTAAGTAGCCAACTGATTTTGATAATCTCTGGGATCCCTTCCTGATAGTTGGTGAGCACTCTGGCTCAAAGTGGACCTTCTCTTTCACTAAGCCCATAGCATCTCAGGAAGTCAAATTGAAGAAAATGTAGTTCAGAAGTTCTCCACCCCGATTAGGCAATGAGCTCAACCACGCGGCTCTAAGAAGGTGTAAGAAGTTGAACCTTGTGTCCGAGCACTAAGTCTTTGAAAATGGGTTCTTTGTATCCAGTCAATCTCCACGTGATGCAAGTAAACAGGATTAAGCACTTGTCAAGGGGCTGGAGAGATGACTGAGTGGTTGGGAACATTGACTATTTTTCCAGTGGACCCAGGTTCAATTCCCAGCAACCACATGGCAGCTCACAACTGTCTGTAACTCAGGTTCCATGGAACCAAACACCCATGGCAAAACACCAATACACATAAAATAAAAATTAAAAAGAAAAATTTGTCAAGAAAACCTTATCCCTTAAAATGATCTCCACCTTAAATATTCTCCATCACTCATTCATTGCAAGTGGGTACTTGCGTCTACCTAGAGGCTTTGAATGTCTTTGATCTGCTCTTTGGGTTTGGGACCTTCAATATGCATATGAATCACCTGATCTGTTTGAAGTTGCAGGTATTGATTTAATGGGTCTGATAGAGCATGGGAATGTCTTTCTGTTATGATCTGGGCACTGCTGGTTCATGGGCTAATATTTGAATCAACTGCCTCTCAGTGCATAAATGGTCTTTAATGGAGTTCTTTTCTATTTTATTTATGTAGACATTAAACTTTGTGAGAGAGTTAATACCTAAACAGAACAAAAATGAAGAACGTTTGGAAAGGGAAATTGCTGAGCTGAAGAGGCAAAATGAGAAGTCTCCGATGTAGGAGGAAGAGGAGGAGAAGGTAGAGGAAACATGCCTGTACCCTGTCACCCTGACTTGGAAGTTACCAAGGAAATAACTGAGTGGTAGCAAATAGCATCAACCATTTTATTGCCGGTCTTAGAGTCAGTAATTTAAAGTCTGTCTTTTCCACTTGCCTGAGGAATTTTTTCCTTCTTATTGTCTCATGGATGAAAATAAATCTGTTCTGCACTGTAATTTGTATAAAGAGGTTTCTGTACATGTACATGGGTTAGGTGTACCACTACGTGGTTGACCAGGACTTCCTGGGATGATATTATATGCATTTTAAAAGGTATCTCCCACGCTGTGCTATGGTCCCCCAAACACTCAGTGACAGTCACGATTAGGTAAATTCTAAAGAAATTAAAGGAAGAGATGTGGAAGGTGGATATGATGAAAACATGTCTTATCTGACATTTTCAAAGAATAAAAAATTGGGTAAATTCAAATACAAGAAACTGCAGTAGAAAAAGTAGTAAAACTTGATCTCAATGCTCTACCCTCATTGTGTACATATTTTATGCCTAGAAAGTGGGGTTTTTCTTCACATTAAATGAAGTTTTAAAAGGAATTTTTCATGCAGAAAGGTGACCCTTACCTGAAGGGCATAAAGCAAATAGCTAATGCTGCCAGGTGCTTTCTCAAGGCAGCACCAGATGTGGCTGGGCTATTCAGAGGTAATTAACTCTCTGTAGTCTGGAGCATACTGCAAAATTATTTTCAGGCGCAAACAAAGATGTAGATGTAGGTCAGATTTTTCAAAGCTGATGTGGGTAATTCAGGATAGATATGAAGGGCTGATGTGGTCAGTATAGGGTAGAACTCTCAGAGCTGATGTGGGTAATACAAGAGGATAGTCTTCTCAGACCTGATATGGGTAGTGCAGGATAGACCTCTGAGGGTTGATGTGGCTAGCATTCCCTGAGAACAAATAGGAACCTCTTTAGGATTGTGTCCCAGCTACAAAGCTTATTAGCCCCATGCATGAGTTTTATCTCTTTATTGCCTCAGTTTAGTCTGTAAAATGGAGTTAATATTTCATAAGGTATAAATTCATACGTGAAAAGTACTTAGAACACCTCCTGCCTGAGTTACATATCCTGTTTCTATACTGTTACTTACAAGCATGAGGAAGCTGATTCTAAGAAACATTTCTAGTAAGAAAATAGCACAGGCGAAACCAGAGGACTATCTTAAGAAAAAGGCCAATTTTGTTAAAACACAAAGATATGGGTATAAGAATCACCCATAGATACCTTTCAAAAACTTTAAAAGGATCAGTATTCAAACTGCCAATTAAGCATTCTAGAAGATATCTCAAATTCTCAGCTTGGGCTAATAGGAAGAGCCTGCCTCAAAATAAAAGACAGGAAAGAGCAAACATTTTGTTTTGCTTTGCTTTTTGGTACTACTTAGTATTTTTCTAAAAACATCACAATCAACCTTAACGTTTGTTTTAATTATTTATTTTATGACACAAGGTCTCATGCATTCCAGAATGTACTTGAACTGATTCTTCTGCTGGCTCCACCTCGTAAGTGCTTAATGGCATTACTTCCAGTTTTATGCAGCGCTGAGGATGAAACCCAGCTCCCTGTAGGTGCTAAGCATGTAAGCAAGCATTCTACTAACTCAACTACATCCCCCAGGGGTCCTCAGTGTTGTGATCACCTTGAATGTGAAGGATAGCTCACTGCTTTTTGGGGTGGAGTATGTTCTTGCAACCCAAGCCCAGCCTCTGCCTCAGATAGGGCAGCTCCTGCACTTGTGACAAACAAAGGACTTCTTTAGACTGTGAAACGGCCCTTAAAAGGCATCATTTCCAGGTTGAAACCCAGATTCTCAACTGTGAACTAAAACCCGCTTTAAGGAAGGCGACCGTAGGCTGCAGAGATAATGGAGTCGCCCCTCCCTATTCCCCGAACTCTGCTATTTCCAGAATCTGCAGCACAGCACCTGTGTGGTGTGTGTGAAGGAAGGAGGGAGACAGTGAACAGGATGCGATGCGGTCAGGGAGCAGCGAGGACAGACAGGTTGGGCGAGAGTTTGTAAAGGAAACAGCAGAGCCTAACCTGGAGCGTGTCGTACAGCCCTCCTGCCTGACCAGGCTGCAAAAGACAAAAGGAAAGCCGTGAGAGGCTCCACAGTCGGCACAAAATCAAACAAAAACAAAACACGGCTCTCACCTTAGCGGGAACGAGAGACAGTTTATTACAGAGACAAATGTGAGTGTCGGTGGACCAGATATACAGATTAAGTTATCCCAAGTCTCATATGAATGTAGTCATAGTTTCACAGAACGTTTGCAGTAAGAGAACAGAGAAAGCTTATATCAAGACGTTTTGCGAATGCACTGGTGGCTGCATAGGCTAGGTCTCTAACCGTGAACCAGGGCAACCTCTGTTAGAGGTCCCAGATACTAGGATTTTAAGTAAGTGGAAACTAGCTATCTGTACGGTCCTGGAGGATTTACAGAATTCACACCAGTGTTAGGTCTAACACATAGAGTAGGCAATAAAGAATATTTAGGTGCTGTGCCCTGCACGGCTCCAGTGTCTGACCTGACTAGGTCAGCCAGGGAATGAAGAAGGGACAAACACTGATACATGGACACATGAACATAAAAACTGGAGTCTGACGAGAAGCCTCATTACCTGGAAGCTCAAATTTTTTTTATTTTATACAAAGCAAGGAGGCAGGTTTTGTCAATCTTGGTAGGAACAGTTTCTATTGGGGGGCAGTCTTCTGGCTGTAAACAACCACAGTGAGAAAGCTATGGTGGACGTTTTCAGCACACACTGTCAACACTCACACTCAGACCCAAGGATGGTTTTGCTATTACTCTTATCCTCACCCAGGAAAGGCTTGGCCACTCCCATGCACCTGAAACGCTGGGTTTTTTGATAAGGCCATCACCACGTCAGCAATACACATTTCGTCAGGACTTCATTTGCTCCCCACACTTGGGGAGCTAAAATAGCCCAAGACAGTTAGACTCTGCACCTGCAACATTCCATCTCCCCACAGCCATTGAACTTTTAACTGTCCATAAGCCTTCTAGAATGTTAAGGTAGGTGCAGCCCCCCTCCCTTACAGTGCTTTCGGTTAACAAACCACAGACATCTCAGCCAACACTTTGAGAAATGGTTTTAGGTATGAAACCTAAGTCATGACGTGCAGCAGATAGAACTTGGAGGCAGAGACAGTACATACGCTCCAGGGCCCTCCCTGACTGGTACAGGATGTAGGACATGCTGAGAGTTAGACCCAGTCCTCCTGCTTAGCCAGTAGAAGGCCTGGCACTTTTTCATCTCTTAAAACTTATACAATACTCCATTTCAAGAAGCCCTGGGGATACAGGAGGAGGGAGAGGACAGAAATTCTGACCCACAGAGCCAATCTTGAACAGAATAGTTTTTCCATGCTACATCTCAAAGATATTGCCCCGTAACTATCTCGTAAACACCAGTGAGAGAGACTTGTTTCAGTATGCATCACTGTCGACTGCAATGTGAGCCTTGGTGGGCTCCTAGGATGCTACAGGTGCTGTAGCTCTATGACTCAACGTGACCCACCTGTTTGTCAGTCTAAGTGGCCAAGGGGCCCAACCTCAAACAATACAGAGCAGGGTAAGTCCCCAGACACTGTGGCTAGGGCAAAGTTGTAAACACAAGATTTTGCCCTGGATCTCAGTAGCAATGTCCTGTGTTCCTCATCCCCAAGATCTGCAGGCTTACAGAGACTCTACATGAGCTTCAGTATCAAAAGAAGATAGGCAGGCTAGTCTATCCTTCCCTTAGTCTAACTGGAACCAGTTGAAGCAGTTGTGATGCGCTTGGACCAGGAAGCCCCCTCAACAGTAGGCAACCAATGTAAGCCTTGGCCCAACCCCAGGATTGAGCAGGTCTAAAAGACTATGGGCTCTAGGTGTGATGCACTTTAGAGGGGCATTGGTAGCCAAAGCTGAACTCTTCACAGTGACTCCAATCAAACTTAAGCAGACTCTTCCCGTGTCTAACCACAGTTGGTAACTGGATGAGGTATCTTGGTCTAGCTGTCCCCAAAGAATGAATTAGGTGGATGGGATACTCAGTTCATTTCATTGTATGAATATTCACACGAATAAATAGAAGAGTCTATGAAGTGTGAAGCTGAAGTGTTTGAGGATGTTGCTAGAATTCCTTCCACAAGGGAGATGTAAAAACATCTACCCCCTCCTTCTAAGATCCCAATAACAAATCCCGGTAAGCGCCCACCAAAGTCCATTCAGGGAACCAACGAGTCTACTAGAATTACAAGAATAATGGGCAATGGGTTGTCGGTAGGAGCTAGAACAGCTGTAAAGGAGCCGCCCTGGAAAGGCTGCGCCCAGCATGAACGATGACTTCCTAATAGCTTCCTGCATGGAGTTCCCTCCCTGAATCCTTTCCCATCCTTATACTCTTCCCCTCCCTGAGGCGACATGAAACTGGATGTTACTGGAGAGGAGGAGTAGCTGGATATTTCAGCGAGGGTTCCATGACCCTCACTGACAACTCCTTCCATGAGGGAACATCGACAGCCAGCAAGGCCAGCTGGGACAGTCTTAGGTAAGTGGGCACAGCTGAACTCATGGGCCTCTTGGCTGAGAAGACAGCCTGTGCAACAGGAGATAACCACATTAGTATCCACAGTTTACCTGGAAATACATGAAACAGTGGATTAATGAATGATAAAGACATGGGAATATTTATGTGAAAAAACATATAATAAATTAATGATACAAATCTACTTTTTCTCCAAATATTTTATATACTTCAATTTTGTTGTATAGGTAAATATTGCCATGATAAAAAGCTGGTAAATATTCATCTTTAGTCCATATATTACTCTCACAATTACAATTGTTCTAATTTGCACAAAGTTTTGCCTGGAGAAATTTCAGTTTTTATATATAGACTTATTAGCCTTTTTCTTTTTGTTTTTTATGTTATGGAAATGGCCTTATTCACTAGTCAGCCACCGACCTGTTTTTACCCAATTCATGGTCTTGTTTTTGTAATTTTCTTGTTCCATTTGGAATTTATTTTGGATAAGACTAAAATGATGGTGCTAAAGGACCTTTATTTACTTATTAATTTGTTCAGGAACACTTCTCAAGTCATCTACCTAGACAGATTCACATAACAAGGACATCTCTAAATACATGGTGCATC